TATATATATATATACATATTCCAGCATGGAATACTACCTACAAGTGAAATGTCCTGGTTCAAGCTATCGGATAGAAGGGTGTTTCACTCTGAATACAATAATCGGACGACCAGAAACGAAACCACTGATAGTTCCCACAAAGGGAGGTAGGTTCTGAAATTTCTATAAAGTTTAAGAAATTATGCAGCATTGTTCTAAAGAAATATTTTTGGAAGTATATGCAGGGTGTTTATAAAGTCCCGGACCCATTTTGATGTTTAATAACTCATAAAATAATAAAGTATTTCTGAATCCTTCTAAAAGCTAAATATTAAAAAAATATATATAACAATATATTGAAAAACTGCACTCATTTACTACAATTTTCAAAGTAATATTCCAGTGCTGAAAAAGAAAATTTGTTTTCCTTTTGTAGCTAATTTATGATTAAAATCAATGATTAAAAAAAGTGGGATTAAAATGATCTAAAACCAGTTTCTTTAGGTATTTAAGAACTGTACCTTTTTAGCTAATGTTATCATCATCATTAATCATAAAGAAGTTTTCTTCTAATGGCAAGTAAATATCCACAGCAGTGCGCGTCTTTTCCACTCTGTGTTCGTACATGTATTTTTTTTTTCGATTATTTGGAAAAATCGTTAAACATAAAATAAAAATTTATTTTTAAAAGTTTCTCTAAAAACCTAAATGATGGCGTAATATGAATTATGCCGTTTATGAAAAGTATAGTTGCGAATAAAACAAGGAAAAAAGATAAATCCTGTCGTGTAATTTTTCAAACCGTTGAAGAATTACGTAATAATCACAACAAGAACAAAATTAAATTATCAATTTTATTTGATAAAGTATATAAACTAGATATAGTAGAAGAAATAGTCCCATTTTAATACCAGGCATCTATGCAATTTTTAAAGATGATGTTGAAGTAAAATAAATAAAGTAAAAAAGTATTGAATAAGTAAATAAATTAAAATAGATAAGGTAAATTTAGTATTTTAATTTTATTTTTCAGATAATCTTTACTCATAAAAGTTGCAAACAATGTCAAAGATAACAGGTGTTATGTGAAAAAAAAATCAATATCAAAAAAAGAGAAAGATTTGTGTTGTATAGATTTTTTGGATTTGATTAATAACTTATTTCTTGACAATAATATTACAGGCAAACATGGAATATGCTCTTAAGAACTCATGCAATTATGTTTCTTGGTATTTTCTAGTTTACCTTTTGCTTCTTACTCCCCATGCTGAAGAATATCCTCCCTTGACGGAAGAAGTTGTCTCAGCTCATCTTTCCATTCACAACCCTCGGCAGATTGTTAACCCGTTTAGTAAAGGAATTTCCATGACTGTTAAAACAGCTCAAACCTTACGACTTAAAAAGGTATTAATTACTTTGTACAGAATACATAAAAAGTTGAGCTTATTACAGTAAAGCAGAAGAGCAATACTAAATTCTCTATGTTATCCTGTTTTTGCAAATTATTTTCAGAAACAAGTATGTGTTGCTTTCCCCCATTGTTAAGAATATCCATATAAAAAAATGTTTTTTTCAGCGCATCTCTCTCTATTCATACTCTTTAGCAGATTGTTAACCCGTTTACAAAAGTATTTGCCATGATTGTTAACACGATTCAAATCATTCGACTGAAAAACAGGTGTTAATTTATCATGTAAATATTACATAAAAAGTAGAGCATAATAAATAAAACAGAGCAACAATCCTAAATTCTATATGTTATCATGTTTAAGAAATTATTTCTTGAAAAAATTTATGTTGTTTTCTCTTATTCTGAAGAATTTCCTCTTTTCGTTAAAAAATAAGTTTATTCAGCGCATCTCTCTCTGATTGTTAACTCGCTTATCAAAATATTTGCCATGATTGTAAAACACGATTCAAAACATTCGACTAAAAAACAGGTGTTAATTTTTCAAGTAAATATTATACAAAAAGTAGGGCATAATAAATAAAACAGAACAACAATTCTAAATTCTATATGTTATCATGTTTTAGAAATTATTTTTTCACAGATTGTTAACTCGTTTACCAAAATATTGCCATGATTGTTAACCTGATTCAAAACAATCGATTAAAAAGCATGTGTTAATTTATTATGTAAATTCATGAAAAGTAGATCCTAATATATTAAAACAGAACAACAATCCTGGATTCTGTATAATATCATGTTTTAGCAATTATTTTTTTAAAAAAACGTGTGTGTGGCTTTCTCCCCTGCTTACTAATATCCTCTTTTTATTAAAAATAAGTGGCTTCAGCGCATCTCTCCATTCATACTCTTCGGCAGATAGTTAACTCACGTACCAAATATTTGCCACGATTGTCAACACAATTCAAAACATTCGATGCGCAACAGTTCTAACTGTTTAAACCCCTTTGGACTTGTTCATCTCTTTATTTTTCAACAGATTTTTGATGTTTAAACGCTGAGAAAATTTCTTCTTGATAAATCCCGAAATTATAGTATGTCCATTTCTCTACTTTCATTTGAGCCTTATTCAGGTCGCTTTTGTTTTGCTCTCATTGCGCAGTTTTCCCTTACGCTAAAGAATATTCTTCCTTTACAAAAAAAGTTTTTTCAGTGCAGCTCTCCATGCAAACTGTTCGTCAAGTTTTGAAACCGTTTAAAATGGGATTTAACATGAATGTCTTATGAATGGGATTTAACTAAAAACCTTCGACTAAAAAAAGGGTTAATTTTTTGCAAATTATATATTAGAAAGCTTAGCTCAATATAGTTTAAACCGATCAATATTACTTATTACTGAGTAGTATGCATTATCGTTTCTTCGCAATTTTTTAAAAACATATGCATGTGGTTTAGGTTGTTCAAAAACTACTTCCCCCACCTTATGATACAAACTGCCAAGACTACATTGAAATGTGGAAACAAAGAGGTGGACATGGTCCAATTAATCAAAACGTAAGTTTTTTTTTATATATATATTTTAGTAAGTTAAAATTTATTTGAGATTTGTCTTTAACCTCTTATCAGTGACATATATTTCAGAAAAATTGACCAAAAATGGAGAAAAAAATCTGACTGCTTTATTTTGTTCTTTATATTATTATAAAAGTTAGAAAAGGGTTTTTTATTAAAAAAAATAAAATTTTAAACACAATAACTACAGTATTTATAATATATATA